AGTCTTATCTTAATGAAGTATTGTGATAAAGTTGTAATTCATTATGTTGGACTGGTGTAGAGCAGGCTGTGGTGTTCATGGGCACTCAGACTGCGATGTGAAAAGAAGATAAATGAATGACTCCATGACCCAGTTTGGAAGAAGATGTTATTTTTATTGGTCAAGTGTGAAAAGTACACAAAGGAAGGAAGAAACCATAAAACAAATCAGAAGCCTTTCACCTTACTACCTTAAATTCAACATGCTGGTCTATACTCACTGACACTCAGTCACAGGGGCAATATAAGACAATGGAATAGATAAAAACCACATTTCCATTACTAAAGCAATAATTGGTGACTCTCCATTATAAAATATGCAGTAACATTAGCTTAAGCCTGTAAAGCTTCATCCATGAAATAATTGCCAGAAAATTAAAATTTTCTGAAAGTGGAGGATTTATTGAACCTTCTGACAAATTAAAACAAAAAGAAATTAAATGTTCATTTGAAAGTATAAGATTTAATTTTCACAATTTTTTTACACCTGTGTACTATTCTTCAGCATGGCAAAAAGAATTTTAGGGCAATTTTTAACAAAAATAACCAAAAAAATCTATCACAGTGGACTTTAAAGCCATCTCAGCATGTGTTACCATACCGCAAGAGTCACAGCAGCTGAAAATCTGCTTCCTGTGTCCCTGAAATGATTACAAATTAATCAGTTAGAACAAAATATTTTGGTCAGAATCTTTTGTGTACTCTAAAACAGCATCTATTTAAGTTGCCCCTTCAGATCACAGTGTGGGATGTTCAGAGAAGGAGAAACTTAAACCTGGCGGGCTGCAAAAAGCAATTTTTGCTGCTCTAAAATCAAGCCAGCTTGTAACTCTCTGCCTCATTTGATCACTAAGGGGCAGCAGAAATAAGCTCTACTGCTGACACTGAACTGGAATCAATGCAAAATATTAATTTCTCTGTGGGAGATTTGTGGTTATTTAGCTGCTACATGCTCTTTGCATGTTTGAAGCCAGTGTACTTCGGATTTATTAAAATCTTTCAAGGCTGCAAAACTATGAAGAAAAAATACTCAGAGCTGAAGAAAGCCAATGAGTCAGTAATAACTCTCTGTGATATCATCACCACAGGGTTCATCATGTGACAGTATGTCAACATCACTGACCAAGCCCACGACTATCAGGACATTTAGCTTAAATCCTGGTTGGTGCTCAGGTAGGCATTGGTATCACATGACTTGATAAAACACCAGTAAACAAAAAAAAGGTCTGTAGCCTTTAAAATTGATCTGAACAGTGAGTCATGCAGTGAAATTATCCCAGGATGTTCTCCACATGTGAAGGTGGTTAGAATGTGGCGTTTCCTACCTTCGTCTAGTTTTCTTTGTCCTCTGAAGTTGGGATGAAGGACGCAGGTCCTGAAGGTAGTGCTGGCTTGCGGAGGAAAGGATATGTGAGTTTTTCCCTCACACAGTGCTGGTAGGTTCGGTCACAGTCAAATCCAATTGGACAGCAGTGGTAGCCATCCAGACAACATTTGCCCTGCAAGAAACACTTTTAGTCTCTCAAAAGAATAATTATCATAGCTGCAAACTTGCTTCATCTCAGTGGAAGATAAAGGGAATTTTATTAAAATCATGTGTCTTATTGCACAAGAGTGTTTAGGCTGACTCACAGGAGAGTAGGGACAACAGGTCCAGCCTCCTTGTGGGTGTCTGCAGCAAGTAGTGCCATCAGGACAGTAGGTGTAACTGTCACAGTAGACCACTGAAGTCTTTATTTGATCTGGGACGTGGCTCTCTTTAAGCTCCTGGAGTGGAGTTCCAGGCAGTTCAGGGGGGGCTGGTTTCTCTGCAGCTTCCTTCTTCACCATGGGTATGGTCAGCCACGGCTGGTCTAATTTCTCACAATTCATGGTAACCAGGTTACAGCGATATCCTGAAGGGCAGCAGTGGACCAGGTCGGCACAGCACATGGCCTGCAAAGTAAGTAAGACGAGCAGAGCTTTTTAACAACCAACAATCAAGTTACTGCACTGGCAGAAAGTTTCTGACTTACATTTGGATATGGGCAGCAGCCATATCCGATATTAGTCTTGCAGCAGGTGGCAGTGTCTGAACAAGTACTCCCATCAGGACACATAGAGCATGAAGCAAATCCCCACAGAAGCACACCGAATGACAAACACAGACTGATCCTCAACATCTGGAAGACAGAATCAACATGACTTTGCAGATTTTTTTCTTTCTGAACTAAAAAGGTCAGACTTTGTAACTTTAATGTGACACACTAAAGTCCAATTTTAGTAGCAACAACTAAACCATAAAACACTTTACAAATAAGTTCACTTCTTTTAATCACTTACCTTTAGGCAGTGAAGAAATTCAGCAGCTTCCTGTGATGCCTTTCACACTTTCCCCTTTGCTGTATCACACACAGCTCTATATAGTACAGGTCAGACACTCCCACTGAGTAAGAATGAAAGATTAACTTCACGTAACACCCCTCTATCTCGTGACTCTCATATTAAGACAGACAGGTTTTGAAAATTTCTGGAACTGCAGAAGTTCAAACCCACTACTTAACTGCTGTAATTACTCAGCCTAATATACAGTCTCCACACATCCTCATATGACATGATTGTATATGCACAATAAAGAAGGAGTGGGTCTGTAAGCCTCACCTATCGATCAAAGTACAACAGAGCTGGCAAAAGTACAGACATTCTTCAATATGTAGGAGCAGAGATTGAACTACTGAGTACTATGTATCACAGTTGCTGAGCAGTCCTTACGTTTGTTTATAACCTCTTCTTCCCCTCCTGTCCTGTCTTTCTCACATCGTTCTCTATCTCTGAAGTTATTAACTTTTTTTCCCTCCCTCAAATGTGGAACCTGGACCTTTAGCTAGCAGACACACTTTTGTGACAAAGTGCACATACAGTTTGTGTGTTTGCAAATATTTGTTGACCTGTTAGAAATGCTGGATTTTATAAAATACTGCTCCCATTATGCTCGCTTCTCTTCTGTAGTGCTAGCTAGATGCAACTTGCAAACATCTGGTCCAAAAAAGTGTTGTTTTGGATCATTTTGGCCTGCTTTAAGGGCTGAATATAGTACTTTAAATAACATATAAATCATAAATTCCTGCCTATTTTGTGCCATTGTGTGCAATAAGCACCAGTGGTGGATGCACCAACAGGATTGTCTTTGTTATTTTCCCTCCATTTATGTTCAAGTCGGTTTGACATCTCTTATGTTAAACAATAGATGGTACAACAACAACAAGAAGACACACCACCTTTGTCACAATTATTGTATCTTCTTGCACAACATGGCTATGTGAACACTGCTGTCTTAAACATGCTTAGAACCCTGAAGATAACCATCTGCGGGAGCTAACTTCCTTCTCCACTTCTTGCCATTGCTAGCTAAACTTGGAACACTGGTCTTGATTACAGAAAATCTCAAATCAAATCACATATCTACAACAATTACAGCAAGGGATGAGTTTCAAGTATGCCTTAATTATACCAAGTGTTTTGATAGCAGTTCAAGACAAAGTCATCGCACAGCCCAACAGCACAACAGCCTCATGTAGCAATGGAAGACCTTAGGTAATTAGCACAGCGGCTAACTTGTAGAGGGCTAGCATGGTGGTGAGTGCAGGACACTGGGGAGGAAAAACAAAACTAAAAAAGTGTGAACTTCAGTCCATGGTGACCATTAATCTACTGTGTTGAAAAAAGAGAACGATATGTATTGGTAGCCTGTTGTTGCTCCAAAAGATTAACTAGCTAAGGATAGTACCCTCCAATGAAAACAGGTGCAACCAATTATTGAATGGACTACCACATGAGAACATTTTGAGAACATTTTGAGAACAGATTGAAGCACCCAAGACTACGCATTAAAGGTCCAAACTCATGCTAAAGATGCAAAATGTTTATCTCCAACTCTCCATAATGTTTTCATTTAAATATAAAAATACCTCACTGGAGCCGCCCAGAGTGAAATGAGCAGTGTGGGAAATAATGTCACACTGGTGTGTGTTTTGTTGCGACATTAGCAGTTCCCATTGTTTCGGCTCCACACTTGGGGAAAAAAAGTCATAAAATTAAAAATAAATGTATCTCTACTTTCAGCAAAATATTATTGTATATAAAGGCGTTACTAGAATTATGAGGCGCTACGACAAATTTTTTTTAGTTACATTAAAATTGGTGCTCATCCAGCTCACATATTACTAAATGACGAAATGTAGGTGAAGAGCCGTTAGTTGATAGGCAGCAGATGCTTTATTGCTTAATTTTGTTACTGCAGAGAAAAGAGCAGAAAACTATAGGTCTCGTGAGTATTGTTTTTTTTTCCTTTTGTTCTATGCTTACAGGTTTACAAGCGCTTGTGTTTACAACTATCACTAGATGTTTATATAGACTGAAAACCACAGCACACATCCACAACAATCAAAGTTTACACATAAAAACAAACTGAAATAATCATTCAAATTGGTTATTTATTAATATAAATGATATTAAAAAAATCTATCCCTCGGAAGGGCTAGAAAAATATTCTGCATTTTAGCAATTAATTTGACTTTCAATTAATGTACCAAATCGCTAAATTGTGGACTTCAGTCCTGTGTTCAGAACTCCAACTTGGTGACTAATAATGTATAAAAAGGACAGAAAGATATGTACTGGTAGTTGCTGGTGCCCAACTTTTGTGGCACTAGCAAGAGATGGTACCTTGCAAAGAAAATGATAAAATATTCTGCATTTTAGCAATTGATTTGACTTTCAATTAATATACAAGATTGCTTTATCCAAGAAAACTGCTTTTTGAACTGTAACTTGAAATGGGAAATTATAAGGAACATTTCACAGTGAATTTCTTCTTTTTCTCACTGCTTCTCTTTTTGTTCTTGGCATCAGGAAAAAGTTGAAATGTGACCACAGGGAGAACAAAGAGCACATGTCTCTGAAAACCATTTCACAATAATGGAATTTCTATAATCAGCTGCAACAGCAACCAGCAGTCAGGTCACAAGGTCAAAAATGTACTAAACTGGCTTTGAACATTGCCAAAATTAAATGTATTCTACTGGCCAACAGGAATGTTCTGGCTAACACCGCGGCACAGAACCCATGTATCCATAGTTTCCACATTACCCTAAAGCTCCTGGGACACGCCAATGTGTCTCAAGTCTATGAACATCTTCAAGTTTAACTTAGCCAAAATGCCAGATAGTTGCTGTGCACAAATCAACATTTATTTACACCTGCCGGAATGGTACAGAGTATGTCAACAACATGTGAACACACCTCTCCTAACCCTGCCTTACAGTCCAAATCACACCAATCTGACAATTTAATGCTACGAGAACTTTTCCGGCCCTACACTGTAAGTTCAAGTCGACAAAACATAAGATTATGTTTATTATTTACCCATAAAGATTGAAAATACATGTTGCTGTCTGTACTTTGAAAGCTTTCAAAGCAGCAGTGTAAGGTGAGGGATTCTCTACAAGATGCACGTAGATGCAGCAAAACTGGAGCTCTGGGAGAGACGTCGAAACTTTCAGGGATTTTTTTTAAAGCTACAGACGCAGAATATGGAACACAAGTCCCTCAAATTCATATCTTTGTTTTTCCTCCATGGAAGGATGATCTAAGCAGTCTTGGCTCAAGACAAGCGAGAAAAACAACAACACTCAACTATTGGTCATGACACTGGAGTAATGTTTTGCCCATCAGGGTGGTGAGTCAGTCACATGACTGAAAACTCTGCCTGGTTGGGATCTCAGTTAAGGAGATTTATAAAATTAAATTACTGTGTTTTAACTTAAATAATTCTTTATTTTAGTCTGATCCTGTTGAGCATATTGTTTCCAAGATGGCAAAGGGCATTGTTCTCTTAAGGAAATTCTCTACATATCTTCCCATCTCTGTCCTGAATTGTCCAATAATTTGGTCATGCTAAAAAACATATATAAAAGTTACAGCTTGGGGCAGCCAGAACAGTTCAGCAATTTAAAGGCACATGTTTAGTTACTCGTGCAATCAGCTATTGTGAAATCTGTGTCATTCTTTTATTTTGCAATTAACTTGTAAGGTGTGGTTTTAGTCATGATCATATGACAAAGCAAGTGACCTCTGGTCCACCAGATTTACCCTGTCCTCAGCTGATTTTAAGAAAGGAGCTGCCAATACATAATTTACAATACAAAAACTAAACCTAATAAATAAACAAGCTTTAAATAAACAAAATTTAACAAATTCTACACAAAAGCTGTTGTCAAGAAATCTGACATGACTGCCCTGCACTTCACACAAGGATGCTGACGAACACCCACTTGGCTAAAAAAAACATTTTAACAAACAACCTGCGTTTACAGTGATTTACTCAATGTCACACTGCAGGATATTACATTTTTATTTTGCCTGTAGTAGTGATGCTGTGCTGGGGGCTACATGCTTTGGTAAAAATGACTTTTAATCAGATAAAGAAAGAAAGACGGACTCGGCCTACAGCGTGAGAGACAGGGCAACTTAAACATCTGGTCAAATACATTTCTTTTTGGTAAAATGAAACTGAGAAGTTGGCTTCTGTGGTTTAAAGTGCTACAGCTGTGAATGCCC